TGTTTATACCAAAATATATATATATTGATGTTTATACCAAAATATATTATCATTTGAAAATTACTTTTGTCATTGCTTTCGAATATAAATAAGATGAAATTGAATATAACATGCAAATATCGTTTATAGAACTGAAGTCTATCGAATCAGCATGTGTTTTATTATTGTTACTGTTGATGATGATAAATAATAGAGAAATATGTTTATAAAGAATAAGAAAAAAAATACCTAGATATATAATTTATCAATCAATATATATGTCGACATATATATCTTATATTCAATGTAATTTAAGTTTGATTGTACATAAAATACAATCACATATATGATTCCTTTCACACTGTTTTCTCTTTTTAACATTCTTGTTTCAATATTATTTTCTACATGAGAACTTATAATTTCAAACTAATATCAAAAGACGAATGTTTATTATTATTCTGTTTGTTATTTAGATTAACTTACTGTTAATAGAAAATGTTGATGATTTTTTTCATCGAAATACTTGTTGAATGATTCAAGAACGAATGATTTTAAAGTAATTAAAATGTTGGAATCATCTTCTCCTTCTGTTTCAAGAAAATCCTTCATAAAACGAGTAACATACAAACATAATCCAATGGTAGGATATTTTGAAGCACTTAATAATTTTGTAGCATCATCAAATGGTTCGAAAATTTTCAATAGATCAGTAAATATCATATAATCATCACTGGATAATTCCGATAGGCCCAACTTTTCTTTTTGTTTATTAGTAAGTGGTAATTTTCCTTTGTTTTCGAACAGGCTATTTAAAATTGGTTTATGTTCTAATAATCTTTGTAACGATAAAAATGTCGAATTCCATCGACTCATACAATCTGTAGTTAATCGACGTTGCACCTTGGATAATTTCTTTTCATTATTGATGTACATCATAATAATTTGTGATCGTTTGATCAGTTTAATCAAAGAACGACCTTTCTGAATTGTTTTAGCTAATTGTATTTGGCTAATAGCAATATTCTGGTCGTTATCATCATTATCATCATTTCTATTATAATCATCACCAGTAATTACTTCATCATTCCATGTATCCATAATTAAATCCCGATTTTCCTCATCATCATCATCATCATCGTCATCATTATTATTTGAATTGTCTAAAAATACAAATGATTGAGAGTTAGTACTAATAAAAGTTTAATTTAAAATGAAATCTTATAAGAAGAAGAAGAAGTTCTGAACAACATAGTATATGAAGAAGACTTTTTTAATTCACGTTGTACTTGGTTTCTGTGTGGTGGTACATAACCTAGATAAAAAATGAAAAAGTCATAATCTGTCTTTTCTTTTTTTACGTCTTAGTAACTGTTGAAAAGCTTGAATATTAAATATAAAATCAAAATTATCAATGATAGGTTTCTCTTAGATATATTCAATTCGTTATTCATCAATGAATAATGAAATAATCTATAAAACTAATATTATTTAGAATATGACTGTATTGAAAAACGTTGGCATACACAGGGAGACTAATAAGATTTATGTTAATTCAATGTATTTTATTGAATATACAACTCAAGTCTTAAAATATAATTTACTTTATTGATTGTAATTTACAATGGCTCAACAATATTAGACAAACGGTAGATACAATTTTACATTTCAAAATAATGTAAAACGGCTATCGTTACATTCTTAATTAATTAATTAATTAGTAACTGATAAATATTTTAAAAATAACATGTTAGTTTTAATCGATAGAATATATAAGTAATAATAGCGCTACGAAAGAAAATTATTATTAATCTTTTGAAGACAGAATGCGGAGCAAACGATAAAAAGAGCACATATATATCTCAATCAATAAATAGTCTTAGTTTTTGCTTAAATTTTTTTTCTAAAATTCGAGTAAAATGCTTATACAAATACCATTTCATTACTACTTTTTATCTTTTCTTAATTTCCAATTGAAGCGCAATCATAGAAACGAGTTCGATTTTAAGTATGATATCATGATTAATGTATCATACTATTGATACTAAATTAAAGTATGCTAAAAAATACATTATGAATCCTGCTGCTTGTTGATGAAAATTACGAAGTATCGTTTGTTTAAACAAAAATCCTCTATATTCTTCACTATAATAATAAGTTCTCTAGTTTTACCTAGCTTGATTCATTGTAAGTAGATGAGTACGTATGAGGTTTACGGATATTATCATCTATGAGTCTTTGTATTTATCAATATATTATGTGTTGCGTTTTTTTGTTAATTATATTAGCGAGTGTTATCATTCATTTATTCATTTTTACGTGAAATGTATGTTTGAATTAGAATCTTTATAAAAAGAAGAGACAAAAAAAAGAAATTAGATTCTTTTTAAAGTATAAAGCATAGACAACTATACAATGTATAATTTTAAGATGTTAATTAAAGTTGTGACTTAATCATGAATTTAGAATATATATTATAGAAGACAATAAAAGAAAAAAAGAAAAAAAGTTGTATATTTGATAGTTTGATCAACCTTTTAATTTTATTACAATATATATATATATATATAAAGATAAGAAATTAAGATAACATCATACCTTTTTGAAACAAGGAATGCAATAACAATAGATGTTGTTTTACAATCGGAATGTATCAAATATCGATATGCATTCCAGATTGAGAGTCAAATAATCATGACTGAATCAGTTGTCAATATAAAAAAAACCTATTGAGCGACGACGATATTTTTGTGTAAAAAAAAAGAGTATGCTCTAACTTACACTAAACATATTTCAGCTCCGATCAGTAAATAGCGAAGTTTTGCTAACGAGAATTTATGAAGCTTCATCAAACTTATATACTAGAAAATATGCGAATTGTACCGAAAAAGACTACGCGTTTTTACTAGTTGACTAATGTTTGATGCATCATACTGCATTAATAATTCTAGCTTACTTGCAAATAAAACAGAAAAGTTTAAAACCTTAGTTTATGAAACTAAATTTATCTATTCAATTGTAACACAATATTATTATCCAAATAATAATCAAAATAATGGCAAAGTTCTTCGATACGTTTCTATGAAAAACGAACTAATTTTTATTTTTATTTTTGCATAAAACACGAAAATATTTTTATTTTAAAATACAGTTGTGTTTCTATAGTACAATCATTGGAATACTTACAAGAAGAATGCGAAAATATCAATAAAGCAGTTATATATATTATCTATATTAAATAATAATACTCTTTTTTGTTTTGATAATAAAATGTTATCAAGCCAAGAACATAATTCTTTTAAAATTGATTTCAAATTAACAAAGATTTTTATTAAATTTTTACAAACAAGTAAACAATTTTATTATCTTGTTTAATATGTTTCTATTTATTAGTTTTTTTATTTCTAGTTCTATTCAATAAAATAGAATTATAAAAGAAAAAGCGTAAAAAAATTATTTTTTTGTTTTCTATCCTATTAATAAACAGCTTTAATAATAAAAAAAATAATAGTACTTGTGAAAGAAAAAGATTACCTGGTATTCCTTCGGTTATAAATTTCGATATGCCACTTTTCCGAAAATCACCGAAAGTTCTTCCATCTTCAAAAATTGCAAGATTAGCCAAATGATCAAGACGTTGTTTTTTTTCCCGTGGAATTGAATTAGTTGGTTTGTTACGTGGTTGAGATGCTAATTGCAGTTGAACTAAATCGTGGTTTAATAATAAATGCTTTCGCAATGTCGAAGTTCCACCATTAATTGTTTTAATATATATTTTGCATTTAGGACAGTAAGCCTTATTTTTCGTAATTTTTTGTGCAAAACCCCAAACATTAGATCGAAGTTTTGTTCCTCCACTTTGATTAGTTGAATTGGTATTATCATCTTCTGGAACTAATGCAACATTATTGCTTGAATTTGAATCTTCATCAATTTCTTCTAATGATACATGTGTTACATTTTGACTTACAATTGGTTCTTCATCAAGATTATCATCAAAGTTTTGAGGACGTTGTGTAGTATTAGTAGCAGCTGATGTAGCACTTCGTGTTGAAATAGACTTTCGTGAAGGAGCCATTGAATAACTGTATAATGATATAAATATCGAGAAAATATCACTAAAAAGAAAACAAATTATAGTTTCTGCTAACAGAATTGATTTTTGTCAAAGCAAAGTCAAATCATCAGGCTAACCATCTACATTGATTGAAAATTTATCTATTTTCTAGTATATTGAGATTCTATAATAAAATCTTCAATGTTCATATCTCTTTATATAATAGAATATACGCTACTAAATTTTTATTCTATGTTTTAGCTTTAGAATTGGCTTGATGATATATGTTAACGGTTTTTTTTCGTGTTCTGTTCTGTCTATATATGAGATATACATATGTTCAATGGAGAGCTTTTACACCAATCAGAATTTTTGTAGAGTACGCTATTGTTTTTTGTTTTGTGTAAGTGTTAAATTGCAATTCTTCAAAGTAGCGATAATCTTTTCAATGAAATGCTTCTCAGTGAAATGATGTTGATACCATTTATTTAACTTATTTATTTTATAATAAAAAAATAGTCTTTAAAAGAAAAACATCTTACATGATTTCTATATACTATCAAATCAGATAATAAAGTCAGATGTTCATGAATTTCTAACTTCAACGCAAAAAAGAATTAATAAATAAAATTACATGAACATACTTACATTCAATTCTTTTCTACGAAATCGAAAGCATCGTAATGGAACCACAATATTATAGTATATTGAAATTCAGTTGCTAGTCGTTTGGACTATTTTATAGCAAAAAACTGGTTTAGTATAGTTAATCACGCTATATAATTCATAGAAAAGTATATGAATAGCCAAGATTAATATTTATCTACTCTATTGAGCAACAATAGAAATAAACTTTTGTTATTTCTATTTGAATGTATTCTAATTTTTATTAGTTATAGTGACTAAGAACTGACATTATTTATTAAGTTTTGTATGAGTTCTAATCAATTCTAAATCAATTATAGAAAATTTTTTATAAATTCTAACTGAATCAGATCAATTTCTTGTAATATATGGCAATTCGTATTAATCATGTCTTAGTTTTGATTAGTTTCAGCGAATGGCATGGAAGTTCCTATGATTTTTAGTCATTTTGAATCAATTCCATACCAATTCCAACCAATTCCGACCAATTCTTGACCAATTCTGACCAATTCCAATTCCAATTCCAACCAATTCTGACCAATTCCAATTCCAATCCTAACCAATTCCAACCAATTCCAATTCCAATTCTACCAATTCCAACCAATTCCAATTCTAGAATTGGTATTGGAATTGGTTGGAATTGGAATTGGTGCATGCCTACAGGATTGAGGGTATGAGTGTGGTGAGTGGATCGGTATCGGTGTAAGTATTATCGTTTTTACTCTCACCCATCACGCACCCACCCACACCCTGCCGTCCGCGTGTAATACACAGATAAATATGTATGTTGTTTTTTATTTTAGAACTTAATTCTTAATATGGATCCCAAACATTTTCTTGAAACATTACGAAATAGTGATTGGAATGTAAGACCAATCCGAAATTCATTTATTTTAAACAATATTTTTATTATTTAGGAAACATCATTAAACTTGCTACGCAAAAAGTCGATGGATTGTTTAGATTGCGATATAGGACTTCGTGATCGAACAACAAATGAATGAGATTTTAACTTTCGAAATAATAAGATCAAACAAAGCAACATGGAAATTCCAGTCATCGATTTAATCATTGATTATATAAATGGTATCCTTCTCACTCACACCCAGACCCACACCCCCACCCTCATTTTAACAGATTTTTCTGAACAATTTATCACAAATTGTGATGCTACAATTGGTCCTGATGAATCAATAACGTACAATGGTTCTTATATTCGAGATGACTCCTTTCCAGCAAAACATAGTAATGGTACCACGTGAGTGTAACCGATTGATTTGTCTAAAAATTTATCTTTTATACATGATGATTTAGAACAATGTTTATATGTATTTCCAATCAAATTGCTAAACCCAATCAATTTGTTTATAAATCACCACCGATCTTACTCCTGAATGTTGGGAAAAGTGTAATTACCATCGAGAAAAGGGTGGGTATGGATACAGTTATTATCTCTTTCACTCTCACCCACACCCAAAACTTATTCTTTACTTTAATGAATATTTTTATTTAGGAAGAATCATTGATATCGTTACGTGATCAGTCTATGGCATGTTTAAAGATCGATATTGGAATTCCAGACCAAACAATCAATGCAACTACATATAACTTTTGGGAGAATAAAGTAAAACAAAGTCAAATGGAAATAACGATAATTAATTTAATAGTTGACTACATCAACGGTAACGATATATATATTAGCTTATTTGAGCCAATCAAATAATTTTTGTTTTAGGCAGTATTCGGGCAGTAAATACAGTACTGTGACGGATCTCATCCATCACTTTTTCTTTCATATGATCGACCGATCGTATCATATCATATATATACACATACACCGGTCACTTATTATTGTTCAACCTTTCTTTCTTCTCTCACCTTTTCTCATGACCGTTTCGCATCATTAGCGATAGATATTTGTTCATTGTTATTCTCGCTCTGCTCATATATATACTTGTGCATCCATATTCGTATAGATTCATTTCTTTTGGTTTTGGATATCTAACATTGGCATTCAAACTTCTTTTAATAAGTGATTAAAGTCAAAAATATTTGATATACTTTCGAAACTTATACTCAACTATAGAAATGATATTCTTGCAATATAATTTGTTTTTCTATAAGTACTATTTCAATAAAGAGTTTAAAAATCTAACATTTTCATGGGAATAAAATATGTGTGTATTTTTTCTTATATGAGTATAATAGAAATAAAGATTAGAAAGAAAACATATTTTTTTTGTGAAAATAACGTTAACTTGTGATAACATACAAAAGCAACAGATCTTTCTATATGTCAGTCGTATTAATGTTGATAAATAACAGCACTGAGGGTGGTGTGGATGTGGGTGTGGATAATATCCTTTTCATTTTCACACACACCCACACCAAGATGGACAATATTTGATGTTGAATGTGTTTATATTTGAAACTGAGATTGCTGAGACCGACATTCAGCCCTGACCGACACCGAGACTGAACGTGATTGGGCCTTGCGTGACTCCGAGCCCCGATCGAGGCTGAGATCAGGCCCTGACCGAGACGGAGATGGAGAATCTCGATTTCGTCTCGGACTTGGTATAACTCTAAGTCCTATGTTACTATATAAACTACTCAATAATATTATACGTTCATTATATCATGTTTTACAGCTAAAGCGAGTTGGTAAATTTTTTTCAGATATTACGTGAATTAATTAATTGTGTATAAATTACAAATAATATTAAGCTATTTTTCTAGTCTAATTTTTCTATTTTATTTTTTTATTTTTTTCTGTGAATAGCTGATTTGTAAAATGGAATTCGAAATTCTACAAAAACGCTCATATATATTCACTGTCGATTTTAAAATTAAAAAATCAAATTTTTTATTCTTAATATTTTGAGTACCTTATTTTCAAAAAATTAGAAAATCGTCAAAAACATCATATGCGCATTTCTGGAATATTCGTCATCAAATTCTATACCTTATTTTCTATTTTACTGCGTGACAGCTGCATACCCTACCGATGGTTTTTCTCCGTTAAAATTTACTATGATAATTTTATTCACATTTTGTTAGTGGTAAGATAAACGCTTGAGCATATGCATTAATGATAATGTCGGAACAAACACGTTTTTTCAATATATGCGCGATAAATTTAGATAAAATATAGTCAAACTTAAACGTTTTCTTTCTTCTACAACAAACGAGACAAAAGAGAGAAAAGAAAAGAAAAAAAAGTATTATGGTATGTGAGAACTAATAAACTCTACTGCACGACACATACACATTTAACTCACCACGACAAGTAATGTTATTAGTTCGATTTTTTCAGTGGTCCTTCCATTTATATTTGGTCAGCAAAGTGACAAGTTCACTTCAGTTCAATCTTCATCATACACATGGGATAAGCGAGAATAACCATAACACTGGAATGCAGCATGATTGTCTGTACCATGCCACTGCTCCTATTGATGATAAGAAAATACCTTATCAAATAATTCGATATTGCCTGAGCGAGTGGGCATCAGAATGGAATATAGAGAACAATCGTGATCAAAATTTCACTTTTTCCGAACTACGCCATCGAAATATTACTAGTCAACAATTATATCTTTGGTCGGCACCCATTGATCTTATTGAACGTTACCAATTCTACTTAAATCAACCATTGAATTCAACAAAAACAGACATAGAGACTGAACTCTTCTATAATTGTACATTTCCATGGTTTGGTCCAGTCTGTCAGTATATGTTCGATCAATACGACCCTTATCATTCATCGTTTGCAGAGATGATTCGTGATTTCTATCAAAATGGAAATGATATGAACTCGTTAACATGTTATATGCATTTACAGTGTAATCGTGGTACGCCTTTGATTTGTCTCGACTGGACTGATATTTGTAATGGAATCATTGATTGTCTTGATGGAGGACAGGATGAAGAAGATTGTTGGCAACTTGAAGTTAACGACTGTCTAGATACCGAATACCGATGTGGTAATGGGCAGTGTATACCCAAAGATTTCTATCGGGATGATGATTATAATACTGGCGATATGATGAATCCCGACTGTCTCGATGGATCTGACGAACTGTTTGACGATAATAAACGTAATAGGTGTGGCAAACGTGAACCAACATTTCAGTGCGAAGAAGCCACATGTCGTATTACACCAACAATTGATACCCGAGAATTTAAGACATTGTCATCAAGTTCCTGTATCAATGAACGCGGCAAGTTACTCATGCAAGCAATGCTTTCAGTTAAAGAAAATTCGGTGAACGATACATGTTGGCGTGCACTCATGTGCAGCGCTTTTACTCTAATGGTTATTGATGATTCACCATGTTACGGCTTTTGCTATCCTGGATCATGTACACACTATATCGAAAACAATTGTCCAGATTTGATACTTCTGCCAGCTGTACCCTTGCTGTTCGGTCATGTGCACTTAATCTACACCAATAAGATCATCGAACATTTAGTAGGCATTCTCACTCCTACATATGTGTGCTATAATAATCAGCTGTGCAGCGAAATGCCAACCACAATCACGTTGCCCTCCTTGAATAATGCTACATGTCGCCGTTACAGCGAACATCCATATCCCTTATCAGATATGATTACCGAATGGGACACAATATTCAGCCATGTACAAAGTGTCTTTCGCACCTGTACACCAATCGTCAATAATTATTCAACATTTTGTAACATATCAACCATGTACCAGTGTTTCGGTTCATCCAAGTGCATTTCAATACATCGTCTCAATGACGGCATAAGAGATTGTTATCATGAAGATGATGAAAACTTCGTCGCAACTACTGAACAAAGTTTATCAAAACCATTCAGAAACTGTTATAAATGTCAAAACTCAAATAAATGCATTAATCATTATTTTCTCAACGATGGCCTGACTCAATGTCCACAACAAGACGACGAAACTAATGATCATTCCGTTATAAAGCATGTTTCCTTTCAGACAATTTGTGATGGTTTCACCGAACTATGGCCAGTAACTATCGAAGGTCGAGAAGAAACAGACGAAACACAATGTGAACAATGGCCATGCAACAATATATACACGCATTGCGATGGAATTTGGAATTGTCTCAATGGATCTGATGAACTTAATTGTAATACTACGTTGCCACGATCCAATTGTACGTCTCATCAGCATCTGTGTGTCTCACCCATAACAAATAAATTCATGTGTTTACCTATTGAGCAAGCCAATGATAACTTTACTAATTGTCTTGGTGCAACT